GCCACAACTACAGAGCCTGTGCTCTAGAGCCCGCGAGCCACAACTACTGATGCCTGCGTGCCACAACTACTGAAGCCCGCGCGCCTAGAGCCCGTGCTCCACAACAAGAGAAGCCACTGCAATAAGAAGCCCATGCACCGCAAGGAAGAGTAACCCCCACTCACTGCAAATAGAGAAAGCCCGCACACAGCAACGAAGACCCAACCCAGCCAAAAATAAATAAATAAATAAATAAATTTTAAAAAAAGGTTGGCCAACCTCCGGGTTACATGATGACAGAACAATATATCAAACCCTGATTTGTAGCATTTGCCAATTTCCATGGTGTAAATTCTCTCACCACAGCCAATTTCAAGCTTCCAACTTGAACATGGAGTTGGGAAGAACTGCTCACCGTCTCCACCAAACAGATACACTAGACGAAAATAACCTCAAGAGCACAGATCCTTGCAAAGTGCAGTAAAATAATTAGAAATTAGGATTTTTGACCTTTGCTTTTTTATAAGTTGTGCTGAAGTATATGTCACATACCATAAAATTCACCCTTTAAAGTGTACAATTCAGTGTTTTTATATATTCACAGAGCTGGGTAACCATCACAACTATTTAATTCCGGAACATTCTCACCACTCCGAAAAGAAACCCCCTCCCCAATAGCAGTCACTCCCCATCCCCCTCCCCCAGCCCTCTGGCAGCCACTAATTTACTTTCTGCCTCTATGGATTTGCCTGTTTTTCTTATAAAAAGAATCACCCACTATGTGGTCTTATGAGTCTGGCTTCTCTCACTGAGTGTCATGTTTTCAAGGCTCAGGGCTCCTGTTTTTTTTTTAAAGGGTTTTTCTTTTTTTTTAATTAATTAATTTTATTTTTGGCTGCGTTGGGTCTTCGTTGCTGCGCGCAGGCTTTCTCTAGTTGCGGCAAGCGGGGGCTACTCTTCGTTGCGGTGCGCGGGCTTCTCGTTGCAGTGGCTTCTCTTTGTTGTGGAGCACGGGCTCTAGGCGCGCGGGCCTCAGTAGTTGTGGCTCATGGGGCTTGGTTGCCTCACGGCATGTGGGATCTTCCCCGACCAGCGCTTGAAGCCGTGTCCCCTGGATTGGCAGGCGGATTCTTAACCACTGTACCACCAGGGGAGTCCCAGGGCTTCACTCCTTTTTATGGCTGAATAATATTCCATATCTTTGAGTTTTCTTTTTTTTTTTTTTTTTGGCCCTGCCAAGTGGCTTGTGGGATCTTAGTTCCCAGACCAGGGATTGAACCTGCACCCTCGGCAGTGAAAGCGCCGAGTCCTAACCACTAGACCGCCAGGGAATCCCCATACATACTTTTGTTTTAAATATAATGTATTTGACTGTAAGTTCATAGTATGTCATTTTTTAAAATTTATTTTTCTTCCAGTTTTATTGATAGTCTGTCCTTTTTAATAATGGTGATGTTAACAACAGGGTTGCGAAATTCCTGGCAATACAGCAAGTGGCCCTCGTGAGCGGGGGTGGGGAGGGTGGATGCTGGCTTCAGCATGCCACTGGTCCACGGAGCAGCCCGCCCTCCACATGAATTCTTTATGTCACAACAAAGGGCGTCAATAATTGATGGGCCCCCTCAGCGGGGCCTCCTCCCTCAGCCCCTGCTGCAGCATCCCAGGGTGGCCTCAGGGGCTCCAGATCTCCGCCCACCGTGGCAAATGCCCCCACACTATTACCCTCTGCCAGCATGAGGGCACCCACTGCTTCCAGCCCTTTATCAACCATCACTCAGACCTCACAGTCGGTGCCCATTTTGATATGGCAAAAGGGGGGACCTACTTTTCTCAGGTGGGGGGGCAGATACCAGTGGTTTTCAAACCGGGTTCCCCAGAGCCCTCGGGGGCCACCCCAAGGATGGGCAGGGTCTGGCTCCCTGCCAGGCTGCGGTGGGAGTTGGGACACTTTCAACTGTGGTCAGATCTCCACTGAAGAAAGAGCTGGGATGGGGTGGGGGTGGGGGACACCAGTGGGCAAAAGTGAATGTTGGGAGACCATATCCCACCCCTCTACAGAGAAAGACAGGACAGGCTGAGGCTCAAGCTGAGTAAAAGTTTTTTTTTTTTTTTGGCCGCGCTGCGCGCCTTGCAGGATCTTCCCCAACCAGGGATCAAACCCAGGCCCACAGCAGTGAAAGCATGGAATCCTAACCACTGGACCGCCAGGGAATTCCCAAGTAAAAGATTTTTAACAGCAAGTGGAGGAGGCTGGAGGGTCACCTGGCAGGAATGTGGATGCAGCCCCTACATGAGTCCGGGTTCCACCCACTTCGCACCGCCCACAGCCTCCATCTTGGTCCCCTGGCTCCTGCCCTCGCACCCTACAGTCTGTCCTCTCCGTAGCAGCCGCCAGAGGGCGCCAGTGAGCACCCGAGTCAGATCCTCCCCCTCTTCTGCCCACAGCCCTTCAGGGATCCCTCCTCCCTGGGGGTAAAAGCCCAAGTCTCCCCATGGCTCACAAGACCCTGCACGACCTGCCCCGTTCCTTCCCTGCCCTCCCCTCCTCCCTCTCTCCCCCTCGCTCACTCTGCTCCATCCACACGGGTCTCCTGGCTGTTCCTCCAACACACCAGGCATGGTGCTGCCCCAGGGCCTTTGCACGACCTGTGCCCTCTGCCTGGATTGCTCTTTCCCCCAGGTCTCCATGTGGCTATTTCTTTCTTGCCATTGAGCTTCAGCTCAAATGTCACCTCCTCAGGAGGCCCTCCCAGATTCCCCCATCTAAACTAATTTCCCCATCAATCTGTCTCTCCACTCCTTCATGCAATTACAGCTAACCCTAATGACTTTTCTGGATGAATGTCCATCTCTCCCAACCCCAGTCTGTGAACTGAGTGGGGGGTGGGGACACCAGACGGGCCTTGGTCATTGCCAGGTCCTTGGCGCCCTGCACCAGGCTTGGCTTAGAGTAGGGGCTCAGAACCAGTTGTTGAATGAATAGATGACCTCCCAGCACTAGAGGGGCACAGAGTCAGATATCTCGTCCAAGGGCCCCATTGTCCAGCCAGGGAAACTGAGGCCCCGAGAAAAACAGATAGCCCAAGGTCACACAGCAGCACAGCACGAACGCTTCTGGAAGGGGCTCCCCCACTGTGGACACTCCCCAACCTCCACTGCCCCATTGGACAGAAGGGAAAAGTGAGGCCTGGAAGACGGGGCCTTAGAAGATCCCAAGTACTCTTGGGCCAGAGGTGCCTCTGTGAATCCCTCAGGTGGTGGGATTCCAGGGGAAGTTGTCTCATGGAGGGGTGTATGTGGGGGATTCTGGGGTAAAAGCCCAAGTTCTCTGTAACTGGGCCAAGTCCTGCCTGTCTCTAGGTCCCCATCTCAGTCTGTAACACCTGGGGCTGAACCTGAACAAGCATGTGTCGTTTCTTCAGCATCCGCCTCTGGGGCTGTTTCCATGACAACAGATGGAGTTTTGTCCTAGGCACCCTCTGGTGGCCCCATTTGACAGACAGGGACACTAAGACCTCCTGAACCCATCACATCAGATCACCAAGGAACCAAAAGGCCCCTCCCCTCCCCAGGCCTCAGATGAGGAAACTGAGGCTCAGGGGGCACCTGACCTGCCCAAGGCCACACAGCAGAAGGGGATACGACAGAGCCTCCAATCTGCACCTGCCTGACTGGTTTCTTCACTTAGGGACCCCTGCCCCCCATCAGAGTGGGGTGTGAGCGCCTGACTCGCCCCCCTCCAAGAGGTCTGGGCACTCACCCACCACCTGCGTCCCAGGCCACCAAGCCTGCCAAGTGGGAGAAGCTCAGCCCAGGTGTTCGTGTGGCTGGGGCGACAGTTCTTTGTTCCGGTTTCCATAGGTACAGCGTCGCTGGGCCGGCTCCTCCTCTGCCCCTCCCAGCCACCCAGCCGCCCAGCCCTGGCCTGGCAGTCCCTTGGCCCAGCCCATCTAGGCAACTTGTTATGTTTTAAAGTTGGCGCCTGTGCACCTGTCATGGAGGTACAGGGAATAGCCCGTGCAAAGGCCCTGAGGCAGGATGGTGCCTGGCGTGTTGGTGGAATGTGGAGGCTGTGTGGCTGGAGCAGAGTGAGTGAGGGGGAGAGAGGGAGGAGGTGGAGGCCAGGTAGAGACTTGCAGGGCCCACATTCCTGCATTTAATTCTGGAAGCTGCCCTCACCCCCAGGGAGTTATGACCCTCAGACAGGAAATTGAGGCTTGGAGAATTGAATCACTCGTTCAAGGTACCAGTGATGAGTGGCAGAGCGGGAACCCAGGTTTGTCTGATTCCAAGGTCTGAGCTTGGGCTGAACCAACCCAACCACTGGGCTGAACTGCCCTCACCCTGCTATGGCACCCCCCACCCAGGGCGTTCACCTCCCCCAGCTGGGCTCAGACCTGCTCAGGAAGTAACCTCAGAGGCCTGTTTACAGCTGGGGTTGCTCCTCCTCCAGGAGAGCCCCCCAGGAGAGAGGAGGTAGTGATGCATGCAGATCTGGGTCAGGTCAACTGCCAGTCACCTCAGCGACGAAGGTCCCAATTCACAGCTGGCAAAACTGAGGCCAAGGCTTCAGAACACTGGGGAGCTCCCAGGTGGCCAGTCTGGGTGGGCCTGGCTCTGACTGTCTCTGCTGCCTGGACCAGCCAGAAGTCTCACTCATTCCCACCTCCACGCCTTTGGCCTGGCTGCCCACCACCTAGAATGCCCTCCTAGCTCTGGAATCTGGCCCTGGCACCTGGTGCCCTGCACTGTGAAAGGGGGCAGAGTCCATCAGAGTCCTCTTGTTGGGGGGAGGGGGGTGCTGGTCCCAGAGCACCACCCCAAGCCAGGGTGGGCAGTTCAGACCCAGGATGCCTCCCCGTAACCCACACATCAAGAGAGTGACAGGAAGACAGTGAAAGGGAGAAACGGAGAGGGAGAGGGAAACAGACATAAGGGGGGTCAGGGACATAGGGGGCGAGAGAAACAGAGAGGCCAGGTGGCCCCCGAGATTGGGGGGCGCCCCGGCACCGCTAGCTCACCTGCTCTCTGGGACTCCGTCGTCGGTCCGACGGTCAGGGCTCGGTCCGGCCGCCTCCGAGGGGGCTTTGCTGTGGCCGCGAGACTCGTGTCTGAGGACTGGGACCCAGCGGGGCGGGGCAGGAAGCTCGACCCCGCCCCCAACTGCCCCGCCCCTCTGAGCGGCCCCGCCCCCCGCCCCCGCCCGCGCGCAAAGGACCTTCAGGGACCGAGGGGGGGGTAGGGGCGGGCGAGGACGTAGGCTCAGCCAATGGCAGCGCGGGCGGTGTACGAAGAGTCCAATGGGAGCTGGTCTCCGCGGGGGGGTGGGGGGGGAACCTGGGGCGGGGCCAGGCAGCTCTGGGAGATTCCTCCGGAATCGCGAAAGGGGCCGGATGCTGGGGGAGAGCCCAACCCCGGGCCCCGTACAAGAAATGAGAGGAAGGAGAATTAGAGTCAAAAAACAGAGAGAGATGGGGGCCGGGGAGAGAAAGAGAGCCAAAAAGAAAAACAGAACAACCGCGTGGCTCTGGGAAGGCCCCTTTCTACCCCTGGGACTCCGTTTAAAGTACGGCCCCAGAGAACACTTTACAGCAGAAGGACCTGGGAGCCCCTTAAACATGTAGATTGCTATACCTCCCAGACGGGCTGAATCTGACCCAAGGTTGAAGATAAATCTTTCTGGGTTGCGGGTGAGGTTTGTGGCAGTTGCTACGTGGACGGACCCTGGAGACCCCACTAGGGGACTTCCCAGATCCAGCCTCGGTGTCCGTGGGAATAAGCCAGCGAGATACGCAAGAGCCTCCAGGCCGCTAGCGGGTGGGGCAGTGGGGACAGCTGGGGCTCCCGGAGGATGCAGCTGTGAGTCCTGGGAACCGGGCCCAGTAGCAGCTCCCAGCTCCCCTGCTGCTCCATTTCCTCCCTGCATCCCCAACCCTGGGTCCCAGTTGCGGCTGTAGGACCAGGGGGGCCAGAGCAGTCTGGACAACCAATGTATGTCGAGTCCTGCCCTGCATGTGGGGGATACAGAACCCTGGCACAGACCTCATGAGGCAAAAATAAATGAAATGTCTCTTTATCTCATCCCCCCCTTTTTCTTTTTGGACAGGGTACTGAGGCCCAGAGAGTGGAAGTGACTTGCCTTGAGGACATGCAGGCACAAGTGGCAGGGCCAGGATTCAAACCCAGGAATGTTTGTCCCACCTCCTCCCATCCACAGCCAGGTACTACCCTCTCCTGAGTTCAGGGTTTCTCATCCGGGGCATTATGGATTGGCATTTGGGGTCTGTAATTTCTATGCACTGTGACATGGGAATAATAAAACCTACAGGTCCACAAATAATAATGGATAAGGGGAGTTCCCTGGTGGTCCAGTGGTTAGAACTCTACACTTTCACTGCCGAGGGTGCAGGTTCAATCCCTGGTTGAGGAACTAAGATCCCACAAGCCAAAAAAAGTAAAAATAAAAATGAGAAAAATAAAAGAACTAATAAGAAGTGTCCAGGAGGATGTGAAGAAATTAGAACCTTCGTACTTTGTTGGTGGGAATGCAAAATGGTGCTGCTTCTGTGGAAAATAGCTTGGTTGTTCCTCAAAAAAACTAAACGTAGAATTACCATATGATCCAGCAATTCCACTCCTAGATGTATACCCAAAAGAGTTGAAAGCAGGGACTCAGAGAGGTATTTGTACAACAGTGTTGATAGCAGCCTGATTCACAATAGCCAAAAGATGGAAACAATCCAAATGTCCATCAACAGAGGAATGGGTAAACAAAATGTGATCCATCCATACAGTGGAATATAATTCAGCCATAAAAAGGAAGGAAGTGATTCATGCTATAACATGGATGAACCTTGAAAATATAGGTTTAAGATGCCAATCATAAGATGATAAATATTGTGTGATATACTTATATGAGGGACCTCGAATGCACGAATCCACAGACAGAAAGTACAATAGAGGTGACCAGAGGCTGGGGGAGGAGGCGACAGGAATGGAGAGTTAGTGTTTAATGGGGACAGAGTTTGTGTTGGGGTTGATGGAAAAGTTCTGGAGATGGATGGCGGTGATGGTTGTACAACATTGTGAATGCACTTAATGCCGCTGAACTGTACACTTAAAATGGTTACAATGGTAAATTTTATTATATATTTACCATAATTTTAGAAAATGAATAATGTAGCATATCGAACCACTGAATTGTATGCTTTAAGTGGGTGAATTGTATGGTATATAAATTATGTTTTGATGAAGCTGTTTTTCTTTTATTTTCTTTTAGAACTTTTGTTTTTATAAATTTATTTTATTTATTTATTTTTGGCTGCGTTGGGTCTTCGTTGCTGCCCGCGGACATTCTCTACTTGCAGCGAGCGGGGGCTAGTCTTTGTTGCTGTGCGCGGGCTTCTCATTGCGGTGGCTTCTCTTGTTCCACAGGCTCTAGGCTGCAGGCTTCAGTAGTTGTGGCTCGCCGGCTCTAGAGCGCAGGCTCAGTAGTTGTGGCGCACAGGGTTAGTTGCTCCGCGGCATGTGGGATCTTCCCAGACCAGGGCTTAAACCCGTGTCCCCTGCACTGGCAGGCGGATTCTTAACCACTGCGCCACCAGGGAAGCCCTTCTTTTATTTTTTAACTAATATTTATTTGGCTGCGTCGGGTCTTAGTTGCGGCATGCAGGATCTTTTGCTGTGGCTTGCGGGCTTCTCTCTAGTTGTGGCGCGTGGGCTCTAGAGCGCACGGGCTCAGTAGTTGTGGCGAGTGGGCTTAGTTGCCCCGCGGCATGTGGGATCTTAGTTCCCCGATCAGGGATCAAGTCCGAGTCCCCTGCATTGGAAGGCGGATTCTTAACCACTGGACCACCAGGGAAGTTCCAAAGCTGTTTTTCTTTTAAAGTGCCTAGCAGCACATCTGGTAATAATAATAACAATACTGTAGTTAAGATTTACTGGTCGCCTACTACGTGCCAGTGACTGTTAGCACTTTACGTACATTAACTCACCAAATTCTCACAGCAACCCTGCGATGGGGTACAAGCGTCCCATTTCACAGATGACGAAAGTGAGGCTCAGAGGAAGCAACTGACCAGTCTGAGGCCACTCAGCCAGGTCGTGGAAGAGATGGGATTAGAACCTGTAACATTCTGAGTCGGGAGCAATGTGTACGGCTCCTCTAGGTGGTTGGACATCCTTGGGGGTCTCGCTAGGGTGCAGGGGTCTGAAAAACAGACCAGGGGCTCTATCCAGGGTCGGAGGCTCAACTTGGAATTGGGTGCTTAGCCTGAGACCAGGGGCTCGGGGTCTGGAGCTTAGCTCAGAGCTGGGGCTGAGCGCAGCGTCGGGAGCTCTGTCAGGGGTCAGTTTCGGCCGGGGAGCGGGGAGCTGGGTGGGTGCTCTATTCGGAGTGGGGGGCTCCATCGAAGGTCTTGGGGTTCGTAGCTGCGTCGATTCCTGACGTGGCCGGCAGGGAGCGTGCTCTGCCCACAGCCGGGGCCCGCGGCGCCCTAGCTTTCCCGGGAATGGGTCGCCCGGGTGGGCGGGAGATGCAGTGCGGGACAGGGCCCCCAAGTCCAAGTCACCCCAGGCCCTAGACCCATCCAGCGTCACCTGCATCCCGAGATCAGACTTTGCACCGGCGGGGCTGTGTGACTCGGAGCGATCGACCCCCTTCTCTGCGCGTCTTCCTCGCGCCTGCGCAATGGGACCACAGTGGTGGAGGCGGCGGGGGAGATGGTAGGAAAGCCTGTTCTCCAGGAACCTCCGGGAGCCCCTTCTCCCCCGCCTGGCGGCTTCCCCGCAGCCGGAGCTCTTTGCGGACCGATGGTGGCGGTGGCCAGAGCACCACCCTCCCACGCCCCAGGCCCAGGCGTAACTCCCACGTGCCGCGATCCGTCTGTCCCCAGCCCATCTGTCTATCCCCGCAAGACCCTTCCCAAGGCCACTTAAGAAAGGGAGTGGGTGTTCGGGCCCAGACGGGGGACGGGAGAAGGGGGCGAACCTTGTTTGAGCCTCTACCGCGGGCCAGGCCACGAGGTCCCGTGGAACTTTTCCAAAGGCACTGAGCGTGAGGGGCTGTCTTCATCCCGGGATCACGGGCTCAGCCTGGAGTGGGGACCCAGGGCCCGGGCGACCCCCCTCTCCCCCATCATCAGGGAGGCAGAAGGAAAGTGAGGCCGGAAGGTCCTAAGAACAATTTCAGTCCTGTGCCTCCGTCGCCCCCATCCCCACCGTCTCCCTCCTGGTGGCAGCGAAGGAGCGGAGAAGCAAGCCGGCCCCAGCGGGAGGATGTATTTACAAGCGCCAGCCGCGCAGACGCCAGCCGGCCGCCTGCGTGTGGGAGGCGGGAGTCTGCGGGGATAAACGGCCAGGTGTGGGCCTGTGTGCACACGGGTGTATGTGCGGGCGCGTGTGGCTGGGGAGGGGATGGCTGGATCTGCTGCTGCTTCTGAGGGTAGTGAGCACACACACACACACACACACACACACACACACACACACACACCCGCATTCCCAGCAGGAGGAAACTTCACTTCTTGGAGTCTCAGTTGCTTCATCTGGAAGATGGGTGCAGGCAGTTGGAGCACCAGATTCAGAAATTTGTTAAGACTTCAGGGGCACAGCTCTGATGCTCAGCAGAGGCCTGGCACATAAGTCATGTAGTAATCACCTCCAGCTGTGGGAGCCCAGACTAGGCACCTGACCCCACCTGGGAGCCCAGGGTGAGATGACAGCTGAGCTGAGACTTAAAGAAAGAGCAGGAGTCAGCCATGGGAAGAAGCAGGAAGGAGGGTCCCTTTTATTCTTGGCTTACTGACTGATCTTGGGCAGATCATAGGTCCACTCTGAGCCTCTGTTTCCTCATCTGTTAATCAGACTCATGACACCCGCCTTGCAGGGCAGTTGCGAAGACTGACTGAGAGGATACAGGAAGTGCTTAACCCAGTATGAGGATACATTATTATTATTTGTGGGGTTGTGTTCCCTGCCCCCAGGAGCTCCCAAGCTATGGAGAAATAAGGACATTAGAAAGGGTTGACGTGCTGATGAAGGAAAGGCACCCCAGGTGTGAGCAAGGGTGCAGAGGTTGGGAAGTTCTGGGGGCTGACAGGGGACAGTGTGTGCCCCCCGAT